TTATGTAAGAGCGCGCGAGCCGTCTAAAACCGTTGCACTCAAAACATTGACAAGTTCTAATGAAAACAATAATATTCATCTTTTTTTTTTTAGGTACTGCGGCTGGATCTCGTGCTTCTAATTAACCAAGAATTCGACTACAATCACGAAAATTAAATTTGGACAATGATTCTCTTTTTCATGATCGAATTATGATACTGGGATTTAATACTATCGGATTCTAAGATACGTCACACTGGTTAGATCGACATCTGGATATACCGCCATCTGGCTATAACATCTTTTAAAATTTGGACCTATATATTTAATACGAAAATGCCTTTGGCTAAAACGACATCTGGCTATAACGACATTTTTTAAAAATTTGGACATATATACCTAACATGAAAATGCCTCTGGTCATGACGTCTGGATATATCGGACAATTTCTTGGTTTTCTTGGTGAGGCGTCGATATAATCAGTGACGTATATTTAGCACTTCGAAGTTTATGAATTACGGAATATTTTTAGAATTTTAAAAGTAGTTTTTTTTTAATTTATATATATTTTGAATTCTTTAACATAAATATTCTATCTGTCATATAAATTTAGGCACTATATACTCGATTATATCTTACGTGCTAGACCTATCCACCTATCTGGCACATCGACTGATCTCGTACAAATCGATCGGAGCCACCTTGAAGACGATTTACCCTTTACACCAGCCGTTTGTTACGAGTCTTTAACGAATGTGAGTATTCTCATGGAGTTTCAAGTGTTTAGTATACATGAGGGTGTAAGTTACGCTGCAGGGCTGTGACTACCAATCCTCCCTGTGTAGACCCTCATGTTCCGAAAACCACGACAAATGGTTACTAGGAAGGTGCTATGATAATACGAGTTATTCACGTTATTTTTATTTTATTTTTTTAGAGTATATTTGTCTGATAATTAGAGCGAATTGGGTCTGTTGTGGTGATTTCGGTTACAGATAAGTGTTCACTATTTCTTATACTGTACTATATTTTCTTTGTCTTTCTGCTACTTCTATTCTTTCTTCTTTTTTTTTAGTTGCTGCGGCTGGATCTCGTGCTTCTAATTAACCAAGAATTCGACTACAAAATTATAGTTAAGATGAATAAATCAACAATCACGAAAAATCACGAAAAATAAATTTAGACAATGATTCTCTTTTTCATGATCGAATTATGATACTATAACGTAAGGGATTTAATGCTACCAGATTCTAATATACGTCACTCTGGTTATATCGACATCTGGATATACCACCAACTGAGGTATAACATCTTTTAAAAATTTGGACCTATATATTTAATATGAAAATGTCTTTGGCTAAAGCGACATCTGGCTATAACGACATTTTTTAAAAATTTGGGCATATATACTAATATCAAAATGCCTCTGGTCATGACGACGTCTGGATATACCGGACAATTTCTTGATTTGTTTGAGGCATCGATATAATCAGAGTGACGTATACTTAACACTTCGAAGTTGATGAATTACGGAATTCGAATTCTAAGAGTTTTTTTAAAAAAATATTTTGAGATTTTTATATGCATTTTTTTTTTTTTACTATCGAATTCTCTAACATATCTATTCTATCTGACATTTAGGCACTATATACTCGATATATCTTGCTCTATCCACTCTATCTACCAATCTGGCGCATCGACTAATATTGTGCAAATCGATCGGAGCCACCTTGAAGACGATTTATCCTTTCCGCTAACTGTTTTGTATGGATTTCTAACGAATGTGAGTATTCTCATTGAGTTTCAAGTGTTTAGCATACATGAGGGTGTAAGTTACGCTGCAGGGTTGTGACTACCAATCCTCCCTGTGTAGACCCTCATGTTCCGAAAACCACGACCAATGGTTAATAGGAAGGTGCTATGATAATACAAGTTACTCACGTTATTTTTATTTTTATTTTTTTTTAGGGTATATTCGTCCGATAATTAGAGCGAATTGGGACTGTTGTTGTGATTTCGGTTACAGATATGTGTTCACTATTTCTTATATACCATATTTTCTTATTCTGTTTTCTTATCTTCTTTCTTTTAGATTATAGTTAAGTAAGTTGAATGACGAAATCGACAATCACGAAAATTATTAGTAAAAAAATTTGGACAAAATCTTTTAATTCTCTTTCTCACGATCGGATTACAGCTTTTGGCCTATTACTCGACACTATAACGTAAGGGATTTAATACTATCAGATTCTAATACTCGTCACCCCTGGTTATATCGATATCTGAATGTATCAACATCTGGCTCTAACGACATTTTTTAAATATTTGGCCCTATATACGTAATATGAAAATGCCTCTAGTTAAGACGACATCTGGATATATCGGACAATTTCTTGACAGTGACATGTATTTAACACTTCGAAGTTTATGAATTACGAATATATTTTATAATTTGTAAGAGTTTTTTAAAAGATATATTTTGAGATCTTTTATATACATTTTTCTTTACTATCAAATTCTCTAACATATCTCTTCATCTAGCACATAGGTTCTATATACTTGATAGATATGTATTTGCCTTATCTACCCTATCCATCTATCTGGCATATCGACTAACTTGTACAAATCGATCAGTGCCACCTTGACGATTTACCCTTTACACCGGCTTTTTAGTATAGGCCTTTAACAGATGTGAGTATTTTTTTCTCATTAAGTTTCGAGTGTTTAGCATACATGAGGGTGTAAGTTACGCTGCGGGGCTGTGACTACCAATCCTCCCTGTGTAGACCCTCATGTTCCGAAAACCACGACAAATGGTTAATAGGAAGGTGCTATGA